GCTGCCGCCGCCGCCAGCCGGGGCATAATACGGTAAATAAATACGAGCATGGGGATCCGCGTGTGAACGAAGCCCCACTCCCCCTCCCCTTTTGCTTTCGCTCTCGAGCCGGCGCTTTTTTTTTCTTGAAATTTCCCTCTTAAAATGAAGGTGCGTGTTATACGCCTGTGCGTGTTATACGCCGATAAATACGGTAGTTTAAATCAAAGACCTTAAGTGTGTCCAAAACACCTCGGGTTTTAAATGTCTGGTATAATTGTTTCCGGAGATCATCTTGTGAAAGAGCCTCAAATTCAGATGAAGACATCAGAATCTGAAAACATGAAAAAATTAATGTAATATTTTTAGATCTATAAACCAATCCACAGTAACATATTTGGCAATATAAATGAACTCCATTAAAATACTTAGCACCACATGAAATCTAAATTGCAACATTTAAAATATTAAATGTTTGGAAGAATGAGTAATGTGCTGCAGTAAAACAACAACAAAAATGCTATAACATATCCCTCTTTTACTACAGCTTTCTTTACTACAACTTAAGCTTTCATAGACTAGAATTCAGTTAGTCAAATGCACAAAGACTTAGACAAAAATATTTAAATGCTTAAGTTGAATAACTGAACTACATAAACAATGGTACAGATTCATTTTGGGAAGTTAAGATCATAATGATAGCTATCATCAACTCAGTTTAGATTTGAATTATATTATTTTTATAGAATTAAAAAGAACAGATATGTAGCTGAAAATAAATGAAATACTAAAAGCTTCAATAAAAACAATCATCAGTAAAATACTCTTATTATACAAAGTCCATATATTATTTTATTATTTTTATTTATTTGTATCCTAACTCAGGGCAGTGAACATATCCAACACATCTTCCTCCTCCTATTTTCCCCACAACAACCCTGTGAGGTAGGTTAGACTGAGAGAGAGTGACTGACCCAAAGTCACTCAGCTGGCTTTCATGGGTAAAGTTGGATTCACAATCTCCTGGTTTGCAGCCTAGTGCCTTAACCTCTAGAGTCACTCTAGTCTAGACCAAACTGGTCTCAGTTGTAATTGTAAACAATGGATTTTTTTTATCAGTTGCTACTTATCTTTTTAGCCTTCAACTTGGCTTTCCAGATGTGCTGTATTTTAACACCCGTAGCTTTCAGTATTGGGTACTAGTTGGATATTACATCGTGAGATCCAGCACATCTGCAGACCAGGTTCTGAAAGGAAGGTTAAGTCAGACTAGATGTCAGAATCCAATTATATTTCATTTCTATCTACCTACTCTGATAAAACCCAATTCTCACTCTATTCTGGATTCTGTCATACTACGAAAGGGGAGGAGGATAAGCAGGGGGGGTTTATGACTCTCACTTCCTTCCATTAACAACAAAGTGACCATTTGTGGATTCTCTTCGAGAGGACTAAACATAACAATGTGGCCATCTGCCTTTCATCTTAGTCCCTCTGAAGTTCTCCTCTTTGCCGGCAGTGAGGAAAAAGGGGAGGGGGAAATCCAACGCCTGGGATCTGGGAAAGAGAGGATGAGTGATTGTGCCAACGGAGTGGATTGACGGATCAAATCGCCCGGAAGAACTGTGGGGTGGGGGCTGCTTGGGAACACTTTAAAACATTGAAGGGTGGGAGAGGATTCCCCAGATCCTGTCTAACATGCCTACAATCAGCTTCTCTTAATAAAGATCCCTGTTGGAAGAGATATTCCAAAAGTTCTGTCTTCTTAAGATGTAAGATTGAGGTGGGTCCTTACATTAGACAGGATCTGCAGAATTAGTCCACCTGGAAGGGAGAACCTGAGGGGGAATTGGAACCTGCAGCCTCGGGGATGTCCGCTGATCCAGTAGTTCCCACTCCCCGCCGATGGCGATCTGGATGGAAGACAATACCACCGACGACGAAGGCAACGATCCATTCAAAGACTCCCGCCACTGGACTCGAGATTCAAGGGAGCCGACACGCTTGAGGTTTTTCCTAACCCAAGTCCTCAGCTACATGGAGGAATACGGGCGGCACATCCCTAGCAACAAAACCCAGATCCGGATCATGCAATCTGCTCTGGATGGGCCGGACGCAGATTGGGTGGTGAATTTGCACGACTCCAATGCCCCAGAGCTCAACGACTGCAACTGGTTCATGTCCTCTCTGAGAAGGCGATTTGAGGACCCCCTGGCTGATCGCAAAGCCCGCGAAAGGATCAAAAAAGGCAAGGCAAACGCCCAGTAGCCGAATATACGCAAGAATTCCGGGCCATTGCCAGCAAACTGAACTGGCCGGAAGACATCCTCCTTAGCCATTTCAAAGACGGCCTAAATTACGACCTATATGACACTTGCCTGCCCCGAGGGGACCCACACCAACTCGACGAATGGTACGTCCTGGCAGAGGAAGCAGAGATCGACCTACTGAAGAGGCACCGCTGAGGAAAACAATGGAGCCACTCACCGCCTGAGTCAACGCGCGAACCAGTGAAACCATCGGCTATGGCCAAGAAGCAAACGGGCTGCTTCAGATGTGGGAGAGAGTGGTATCGGGCTGTAGAATGCCGCTCGAAAGCCCCCCCAGCACAACCCAGACAGATCACCGGCCAGCAAATCCAGGAAGTCTCCAGCTAAGCCAAAAGAATCTGCCATGAGAGTGATGGAGGCTGTGGAATCCCCTACCTCTGCCCATTGTGGGGAAAGAACTCCAGCCTACACTGCAGGTCCAGTGGACGCCTCAGACGACAGCTCGGAGGGCGAACCCCTGGTAAGTGGACCCATTGCACCCATCTTCAAGACAGTGACTATATTAATTCCCTCCATGCCCGAAGCTGTCAAGGTGAAAGCCTTAATAGACTCTGGCTGCACCTGCTGCCTCATTAGCCTGTCACTAGTGGGGAATCTGGGCATTCCGTCCAGGACACTAGAACAACCAATCTCATTTGGCCAGTTAGATGTGTCCATAGCAGGGGAGGTGCCAACTACCCTAGCCACGTTACCAATCCACCTCTCCCTGGGCAACCACGAGGAAGACATAATGTTTGTAGTGACCCCAGGCATGGAATGCCCAATGATCCTAGGGATGGAATGGTTAAAGAAATGGAATCCCTGGAGTTTCCGGGTGACGTCGTTGGTCCTAGATCCTGGGACACGAACTCTCCGTGCCCAGGGTCCGAGTTTCTGTCGCTGGCGGGCCCATTAGGGCTGAATGCCACCCTGGAGGGGTGGCCACCGAGAGGTGAATTCTTTGAGGAAAGGGAGCTGGCGGTAGCCGGCTCTCCGAATTCAGAATAGCCTCTGGAACTGGCGAGAGAAAGGCGAGAGCTTTGCGTTTGCCGCCATCTTCAGCAGATCATCGGAGACAGGAGTCAGCTGTTTAAGGAAACAAGCAACTGCTCCGGGTGAGATGATATCAGTTTTCGTTGCAAAGCGGACCCTTGAGAAAATTGCCTGCCTTAAGCGATAAGCTGGAAGCCTAAGGGGAGGAGGAGGATTTATTTATTTATTTATTTCTTGTATTTCTACCGCGCCCTTCTCCCTGTGGACTCAGGGCGGCTTACAGCCATTTAAAACTAATACTTGAATACAAAAATACAAAATTTAAAATATTAATTAAAATGAAATATTATTCTAAGGCCGAAAATTCGGGGAAAAATTTTTTTTTTAAACCAAATTAAAATAACCCTTAGGCCAGTCCTGCTAACTTAAATAGCCATGTCTTGAGGGCGCGGCGGAAGGAGGGGAGATCCGGAATCAACCGGATCTCTGGGGGTAGCTCGTTCCATAGGGTGGGAGCTCCAACAGAGAAGGCCCTCCCCCTGGGGGTCGCCAGCCGGCACTGTCTGGCTGACGGCACCCTGAGGAGACCCTCTCTGTGGGAGCGTATCGGCCGATGAGAGGTAATCGGAGGCAGAAGGCGGTCTCGGAGATAGCCAGGTCCGATGCCATGGAGCGCTTTGAAGATGATAATCAACACCTTGAAGCGCACCCGGAAAGCCACCGGCAGCCAGTGCAGCTCGCGCAGCAGCGGCGTTATATGGGAGCAACAAGTCACTCCCATCACCGCCCGCGCGGCTGCATTCTGGACTAGCTGGAGCCTCCGGGTGCTCCTCAAGGGGAGCCCCATGTAGAGAGCATTGCAGTAGTCCAGGCGGGAGGTGACAAGAGCGTGAGTGACTGTGCGCAAGGCGTCCCGGTCCAGAAAAGGCCGCAACTGGTAAACCAGGCGTACCCGGTAAAACGCCCCCCTGGCCACGGCCATCAGCTGGTCTTCTAGTGTCAGCCGTGGGTCCAGGAGGACACCCAGATTGCGCACCCTCTCCGAGGGGGCCAAAGTTTTGCCCCCTATAGTCAGCGACGGAGTCAGCTGACTATGCCGGGGCGCCGGCAACCACAGCCACTCGGTCTTGGAAGGGTTGAGCCTGAGTCTGTTTCTCCCCCCTCCCAAAAAGCGGCGGTTTCAGCATTTTAAAACTTTTGAAAAGTTTTTGAACTGAAGTTATATTGAAGGAACCATCTTGTTTTATCATAGAGGGGAAGAAAGATTTATTATTATTTTATTTGGGAAAAGCCACCTTTATTGCTCTTTTTTAAGAATTTGTTTTGAATTATTTTTTTGTATTTATTGCTGGAACTTTCTCCTTTTCTTTTACTTTCTCCCTATGCAAACGGTGAGGGAAGAAACAGTGTGCCCTGGTGGTTATTTTTGCAATTTTTCTCCTTTGTTCTTTTGCTACACTATCTTTGTTGATTCAGCTGTGGAGTTTGGCTCAATGCCCAGACACTTGGCTGACTGCCCAGACATTCCTACCTCATTGGGAGATTACTAAGAGAGACTTTCTTTTTTTTTTTTTTGTCTTTGCTTGGTGTCTGATTCCCTTTTTGGGTTTATTTTATTCTTTTTAAAAGGGCACCATAGAAGAAGTTTTTTATGTCTCTAATTGGATTATAAATTGAATATTCTTCTTTTTCCCCCTCTTTTTTATTGTTACTCCTTTTTTGTCAGCCTTATTGTGTGGATATAAACATATGTTTTGTTTTATGTTCCTTTTTTTTCTATTTGTTTTTTTTTGCCCAGAGATCTGCTATCCCTTTTTATATTTTCTCCTACATTTTGATATTACTATTGCTGAATATTTTTACTCTCACTTTTATTCTTTATTGAGGCTTTTGGATTATATATATATATTTGTTTTATTTTTTATCTCTTTTCTTTTTTGAGCCTTTTGGTGGAATATAATTGGCCATTGGGCCCTACTTTTGGATTACAATTAATTGGGCCATCGGGCTTGATGATGGATTATAAATAAATACAATAATCAGGATGAGTGTTTCAAACTTGGCGAAAGGAGTGAGGAAGGGCTCCTCGGCTCCTGCATCAACCCCAGTTAGTCCAGCACTTCAAAAATCGATTACAACATTTTTACAACCAGACACGCAGCACAAGGATATGCAAGCCATTCTCCAGGCAATTGTAGATTCTAGAATGGAAATGAAAAAGGACTTTGAAGATTTGAAAAATGATTTGCTTAAGATGGATCAAAAAATGGAATCCTTTCAACAGGCAATGTCAGATACTCAACAAAGAATGCAAAATATTGAAGACAAGTCAGTAGTAGTAGACCAGAAATTAGAGGCTCTCCAAGATGAAAATCAGAGATTGGCGCAATCTAACGCAGAGCTGGAAGAAAGTATGGCAATAATGGAGTTACAACGCGCATCGTATTTCCTAAGATTCCAAAATGTGATAGAAGAGAGTGATGAGAACTTGTTACTATTGATGAGTGAATTATTGGCGGAGTTGCTCGGAATGGAAATGGATCAAATCAAATGAGAAGTTGATCAAGTTTTTAGAGTGAATTCAAATTATACAAGAAGAAATAGAGTGCCCAGGGAAGTTCATGTCAGATTCAGTAAAAGAGCAATATGGGATTAGATCCTGAGACTAGTGAGGGATCAACCTCTGAAATACAAAGATAAAGATTTGGTAGTTCTCAAACAGATCCCAAGAAGAATTAGAGAAGCCCGAAGAGAATACCAGTTCTTAACAAGGAAATTGATCAGTAGAGGAGTGAATTTCAGATGGTTGATCCCAGAAGGATTATTAATTTTTTGGGATACAAAAAGATATAGATTGAGCACCCCACAACAAGCAGAGGATTTCTTTAATAATCATAGAGACCTCTTGGAGAAAGGTGAAGCGGAATCTAAGAAACCAGAGGAAGCGACTGCAGGAACATCTAAACAAACGGAGAAGTGCCTAAAAAGACTCAACCAGAGGAAGATGTGAGACCTAAAGATCAGAGACAGATAAGCTCTCCTAGAAAATTGAGAGCTCGACACAACTGAAATTATGGAGGAAATTGGAATTCTTTCAATAAATATAAATGGTCTTAACTCCCCATCAAAAAGGAGTAAAATATTTCATAGATTACAAAAGCTAAAAATGGATATAATTTGTCTCCAGGAGACACACATCAAGAGACAACATTCTAGAATACTTGAACAATTAAAACTTGGTAAACTTTATTTCTCCCTGACATCACAAAAGAAAAGAGGGATAGCTCTATATATAAAAGAAAAGATGAACCCAAAACAAATTTACGCTGATGAAGAGGGAAGAATACTGATGGTTGAGATTACATGGAATCAAAAACAAATATTGATGGTTGCGATATATGCTCCCAATGAGAAGCAAGATCAATTCTTTCAGCAATTATATGATAAACTTGTGGACTTAAATTACCATAGCTTGTGTATACTTGGAGACTTTAATGCAATTGTTAATCCAGTACGGGACTATAAAAGCTACAAACAAGGGAAAAAAGGAAGTAATATCTTACCTAAATACTTTCTAAAAATGAAAGATGAACTTTGTATACAGGACATTTGGAGAGATGTACCCGGAAAAAGCACAATATACTTTTTATTCTAATAGACATAAATTGTGGTCAAGAATTTACATGATATGGACTTCTCTTGACTTAAAGGCCATGATACAAGAAACTGACATAGAATCGAACATTTGGGCAGACCATAATTCAATTAAAATGACTTGGAAAGGATTTAAGAAAAGACCGAGATGGTCCTTGAATAAATCAATATTGAAAGAAAAGGAATTTCTACAATTTGCAACAAAAGAAATGGATTTTTTTTTTTAAAGTCAATTAAAAAAAAGAAACCTCTATTCAAATTGTATGGGACACGGCAAAAGCATATTTTAGAGGTTTGGCTATAACTTATCTTGCCAAAAAGAATAAGGAAAAGAAACTTGCTCAACATAGATTGAAAGAACTTAGTATGGTGGAAGCTGAGTTACAATCAGACCCTCAAAAGAAAAAGTTGAAAATACAAATGGAGCTATTAAAACATAAGTTAAACTTACTTGAGACAAATACAATGGCACAACAGATTAAACGGTCCAAACAGAATTTTTTTGAAAATGCCAATAAACCTGGGCATATAGATTAAAAAAAGAAAGAGAAAAAAGATTAATAAGTAAGCTACGGGATACGGATGGTGACCTACAATGTCACAATGACTTAATGAAAAAAATTACGAAGGAGTATTATGAGACACTTTATAAGGCGGAGACAGTTTCTAAAGAGGCAATTCAGGCTTATTTAAAAGAAGCAAATCTCCCAAAGGTTCCTGAGAATATGCGTCAGAGGTTAAATGAGAATGTTTCAATGATGGAGATTACAGAGGCAATAAAAAAGCAAAAGAAAGATAAAACACCAGGACCTGATGGACTCCCTGCTGAATTTTATGTAGCGTTACAAGATACCCCAACTTTGAAAGACTTATGTAATGAAGCCCTTACACAGACAAAAATAACGGATTCGTGGACTGAAGCTAATATTACTTTGATACCTAAAGAAGATACTGATCATACACTAATTAAAAATTACAGACCAATATCGCTACTAAATGTGGATTATAAAATTTTTGCTGCAATAATGGCAGAAAGAATGAAAAACTTTTTGAATGAATTTATACACCCAGACCAAAATGGTTTCCTACCAAAAAGACAGATAAAGAACAACTTGAGGATTATTCTAAACGTCTTGGAATACTATGAAATTCATCCAGGGAACCAGATGGCACTTATATTTCTAGATGCGCAAAAAGCCTTTGATAACTTAAATTGGCAATTTATGTTTCAACAACTTCAAGAAATGGACTTTACTGATTTTACCTGTTACTGTTGTTAGGATTTTTTGAGATTTTATTAGTAGTGTTTATTTAATAGATGAACGTATTTGTTTATTAATTGTTTTTAATATGCTATAGTTAAGCTTATCGTAAAAATGGTTGAATATGATATTTACTCATTATTATGATCCGGACAGTAGCTTGTTTGTTAAAATATGTGATTGTACCCATCCTTATTTTACCCTAAATCCTTTACTCCCCTCCCCTTTCCCCCACCCCTTCCCTCTACCATACCTATTGTTCCTATTTTTTCCTTACGTATATAAACTCAATAAAATCTTCTTAAAAAAGAAATGGAACCCCTGGGTAAATTGGAGGACAGCAGAAATCAAATTCCCGAAAGGAGACCCCACGGACTTAAAACCCCAAGGGGATCTACCAAAATTAAAAATGGAAAAAGCATCCATGGGAGAAGAAAAGGGGCTACCAGAAATAACAGAGGAATACAGAGATCTTGCTGAAATTTTCAGCGAGGAGAGGGCGGATGAGCTTCCCCCCCATCGATCCACCGACTGTGCCATAGAATTCAAGCCTGGGGCAAAACTCCCAAAGCCCAGATTATACTCCATGAGCCCAAAGGAGAAGGAGGAAATGGAAAGATTCATCAAGAAAAACCTAGAAAGGGGGTAAATTGAACCAGCCAAGCCTAAAGTGTCCGCCCCGGTCCTCTTTAGAGAGAAGGATGGCTCTTTACGCTTATGCGTGGATTATAGGCTCCTGAATACAATCAGTGAAAGCAACCTAAACCCCCCTACCACTCATGAAGGACATGTTATCACACCTCTCCAAAGGGAAACACTATCATTAAAAGTTACCAGACTCTAATGCCCTAAGCCCAGTTTATGCATTTTTATTTACTTGCTAGATTTATATTCCTGTTTTGTGTCTTTACAATGACCCAGAAAAGGTTTCATTTGTTACTTTTCTATTTTGTATCATATAAAAGTTTGATTTTATTTACAAATAAAAGAAACTAGTAAAGGCAATTTTAATTACTCTAGGTAGAAAGCTTCAGACTTTAACATTTAAATAACAATACCCAAAGTAGCATTCCACCCATTGCTCTGCAAAAAACATAATAAAATTCACCGCAGTTAAAAAAAATCATTCCTCCAAAATATCTACTCCATTTCTGTCTGCTACACATCACACTACCCAGGCTACATTCCCACCCTTCACAGACTTACTCGCTTCAGGATTTTGTACACACTGAGGATCGGAGAAACGGGGGAAGTGAAAACTTGCGATACGAACACACTCACACAACGCACCAAACTCGACACTGCTACAAAGAAGAAAACTGCACTTCCACTACCGATCCACCAAAAAAACAAACGGGCAAATGGTCTCCTCACGCCCCACCCCCAAAGAAATCGCGTTCAATGACGAAGCGCCCTGAACCGCCTCTTCCATTCCTGCCGTTGCTGCTATTGCTACCATCAACGATCAGACGCGTTGCTATCCCAGAATTCTCACGAGAACGCGCGGGGTTATTTCTAATTCGCGCTTTAAAGGGTGGGGGCTTTGACGACATCAAACAGCGCCGACTGTTCTGCAGAGGAAGGATTTGTTTCTTCTCATTTCTACCGTCTTAGTAAACCTGGTCGCTGTACGGACTCGGGTGAACTGTTTTTCTTTTCTTTTCACGGATTCTCTAAAAGTGGTATTTATAGTATTTTATTTTTTAATGGGAAAAGAAATTAAAAACAGCATTGCACTATAAAACTCGAAATTTTCAACAGGGAATAATTGACATATAAGGCTGTTTCTAACCATGGTTTGCACGCTACTTGAAAGACTTTCAGATGGAATCTTTGGTGTAGAATTCAGATATTTTAGGTTATCTGTGGCCCGCCGCTGGGGGGCTATTGAATTTGGAATTAGCATCCTCTGGGTAGACAGTTTTTCCTATTCAACTTTTTATTATGATCATCTGGAATATATTTTCCAATCTGTGCCTTCTATTATCTTTCCTTACGTTCAGGTTTATCTCCATAAATGAACAAATAGTACAATTCTCTGAAACTTTGCTGACTTTACTTTAAAAAATAGAAAGCTTTATTCTGATCGAATATACTATGTTTTTTTAAAAAAATAAACGTAAGCATAATTATATCCTGGTGAAAAGGTGAGGATAACATTATGCATCCCATCCCCCAGTAATATTTTTAAAACATATTATTTACATAAATAATTGTGAGAAATGTTCAACTGACAAGAATATAAAAAGGATAGAATTATTTTTCCTAATGTACTAGTGTATTTCATTACTTGTATTTGCTGTTGAACAGTAGAATTGATATTTATTGGAATACAATGAATACAATATAAATATTGGAACTGATATTTCAGTAAATGTGAACTAGAATTATACAATTATATAAATCTCAGATAAGAGGTTGGGAAAGAACTTTGCATTGTTGAAATGCTACTCAAACAAAATTATAACTTGGACTTTAATAGTAAGTTTAAATTGTAAGCATTTTCTTTGCAACCTTTACTATAATCCGTTAATAAAAATATATGTTTAAAATTTTCATTGCCATTGAGGTGGAGCCAATTATAATACTTTATATATAAATATATTCAAATAGTATCAAATAGCAATAACTTCATAGGATTCGTTATCTGCACTAATCAAGACTTAGCTGTACTGTTAGAAATGCTTTAACATTTAATATATATCACAATATTTTTTTCTGCAAACCACTTCTTTTCCAGCTGCATGATTCTATTCTCTTTCAGAAGAAGCCATATTTTCATTATGTCGGGAAGCTACTATTTTGTAATTGTGGGTCACCATGATAATCCTGTATTTGAAATGGAATTTCTACCAGCTGGTAAAGTAGAATCTAAGGTATGAAATATTGTTCAAATGCAGAATATATAATATCAAATCATTCTATCCCCTAATCAATATGGTTCTTTGTTAATTTGAATTTGGAACTTAATAGCTTTTTTTATTTGTTGCTATTGAAAATTATTTTATTCAAGTTATATGCTGCCTATCTCACCTGGATTAATTATCCTGATGAGCATCCATTTATTTGATTTCTGTCTTCCTGTCCCCCACATAAATTGGACCAATTTTTATGCCTTAAGTATGATTTATTATAAAAGGATATATTTCAATATAAATAAATGTTTGGAATTACCTTTTTTTCTCCTAAAAATTGCAAAAAATGCATTTTCTAAAGTACATACAAGTATAAAGGTTAGTATCTAATACTGCATTAGTCTGTACTTATTTTCCTCATAGTTATATATTCTAGTACATATATTACACTGTTCAAGCAGTTGCTTAATATTGTATGTTATGCAAAGATATTATGCATGAAAAAATATCTAAGATAAAGTTATTTTATACTTTTTGTTTCCAGTATTTAGAGTTGAGCTTTATTTTTTCCCCTCAGGATGACCATCGCCACTTGAATCAGTTCATAGCTCATGCTGCTCTTGACCTAGTAGATGAAAACATGTGGTTAACAAATAATATGTACTTGAAGACTGTGGATAAATTTAATGAATGGTTTGTTTCTGCCTTTGTTACTGCAGGCCATATCCTTTTTTGTTGCAATGCTATAAGAAGAACATTTTAGAATAGAGATGGAAAGCCTATGGCCTTCCAAACTACAATTTTCCACATGTCTTACCATTGCCATGGTCGTTGAAATAAGTATTGTATTTAAGTTGCATATAGAGGTCTATAGGTTTCTCATCCATTTTATAATATGTAGTTATCAAATCAATTTAAATAACCCCGATCTCACAAATGTGACTCTTGCTGGTTAAAAATGCAGACATTCAGCAATAAGTATAATATTTAAAGCCCTTAATGGCATAGAACCACATTACTTACAGGATCGCCTCTGTCTATTTCACCAGGTCAGAGAGGATGGGCACACTTCAGGTCCCTTAAATGTTTTCTTCTAGCAGAAGCTAGGAAGTGCACCCTGCCCTGTGGAATATCCTCTATACCAGAGGTCCCCAACATTTTGGGCACCAGGGACCAATTCTGTGGAGAGAGGTTTTTCTGTGGACCGGAGGGTGTGTGGTTTTGTGTGCTGCCTGCATCTTGCGGATGGGTCTTGTTTGTGCAGACCAGTTCTGGCATGCTGCAGCCTGGTACTGGTCCATAGACCGGGGTGTTGGGGACCCCTGCTCTATACAGAGATCTGCTAAGCTTCCACCCTCCTTATCTTCTAGTACAGGGGTCCCCAACCTATGGTCTGAGGCCCGGCCTGTTGGCCACCAGGCCACGGGAATAGCTGGTGAACCCCCCCATTCTTGGTAGCCACCACACGGGGGCTAACAGCCCCATTTGCACATGCATGGATGCGCTAATACTGCCACCAGTGTCACATGGGCATGTTTGCATGGGCGCGAGGATCCCAATTGTGCATGCAATTTCCCTCAGGCTGAGGCTCCATGCAAGATCTGTCCTCATGAGAATAGCAGTCTCAATCTTCATATCCGAACAAAATGCTGTGCTTATGGCGAGGTTCACTCTAATTAGAAGCAGTTTTCAATTAGTCCTTCCCCTGGTGCCCTTTAATTATCATTTTAAACAGCCCTCCTTTGATGGATGATACAGTGCCCTGCTCTTAGCAAAGGGTTAAATTCAGAAATTGCATATTGGGCACAGAGTCTTTGTTCAATACATTAAAAAAAACACCCCGAATCACCTTATTTCTTATTATATCTAGATATCAGTCAACTCTATGTTGGTTGTGAAACAGGTAGTCCTTGAGTTACGAGTGTAATGGAGCCTGCCCATTCCACTCATAACTCGAAAACTCATAGAGCAGTGGTGGCGAACCTATGGTACACATGCCAGAGGCGGCACTCGGAGCCCTCTCTGTGGGCACGCGTGTCATCACCCCAGCCCTGCCTCCTCTCTAGCAGCCCCCCTGGAGGAGAGTCACCCCCAGGCGCGTCCTGCACGGAGCAGTGCAGCCAAGGACATAGCCGGGCAGCAGGGACAAGACTCCACCCTCGCGCTTCATAGCATGCAGATGATGCTGCGGGATGTGGGCGGAGGGTGTGGCTGCCATGGCGCTGCAGGGCTGCCTGGATGACCTGCTACGGCGGGCCATTGCAGTGCATGGCCCTGTGGGTGGGCAGAGCAGGGGGTGGGCAGGGGTGGAGCAGGCAGGGCGGGAGGTGGGGGCACGTTTTGGGCACTCGGTCTCTAAAAGGTTCGCCATCACTGTCATAGAGTGAATCTTGTACTTTGAACAAGATCACTCCCTTGCTCGTTAAGACGCACGTGGCTCATTAAGTGCATGAGATATCTCAGGGTGGGGAAGGCCGTTGGGGTGCCTAGTGATGGAATAGGCCCCCCAAGGCCTTCCTGACCTACTAAGATACCTTATGCTTCCCCCTCCCTTCCTGCTGCACCAGACTCACTCACCTTGAAAAGATCCGTCTCCTCTCTGCCACGGTTTCTGCCTTTGAGGGAGAAGAGAGTTGATGGAAGCTCCAGGGTGCCCGTAATATCATGCAAGTTCAGGCACCGATCCTCTTTTGCAGAGAATGGGAGCCTGAACTGTCGCAGTGTTTGCTCCTGCCCCCAACTCCTTTCCGCCACTGCCAGAACAATTTTCACCAGGATGGAGACCTTGGGAAAACTGGAACTCCGTCCGCATGCAAATGCACCCTTAGAAATGGAGCGTCTTGCTTTGTGGCTCCATTTTCGCTGGGAAAAGCCATTTCTCAAGCCCCTTCCTGGTAAAAACAAGCCTCTGGAAGCAGCGCGCTCGCTTGCTCCGGAGGCTTGTTTTTGCAGGATTGCTCTCAATGAGAGCGAGGCGTGCTCGCTCCAGAGGCTTGTTTTCGCCAGGAAGGGGCTTGAGAAATGGCTTTTTCTGGCGAAAATGGAGCTACAGAGCGAGGCGCACTCGCAACGGAGGCTTGTTTTCTCAGATTGCTCTCAATAAGGCCGGCTTGCTCCGGAGGCTTGTTTTCACAAGATTGCTCTCAATAAGAGTGAGGCACGCTTTGGCTCCATTTTCAGCAGAAAGGGGCTTGAGAAATGGCTTTTTCCTGGTGAAAACAAGCCTCTGGAGTGAGTGCGCCTCGCTCTGTGGCTCCGTTTTCAATGGAAAAAGCCATTTCTCGAGCCCCTTTCTGGCAAAAACTGTGCCAAAGAGCGAGGCATGCTTGCTCCGGAAGCTTGTTTTCATCAGGAAGGGGCTTGAGAAATGGCTTTTTCCGGGAAAACAAGCCTCTAAGCCCTAATGCTGTCTGAGAGAGGCAGCGGCAGCCATAGCAGACCCTTCCCCATTTCCCCTCGTTTCACCAAAGCCTCCTTTCACTAACCACCTTTCCAGCTCCGTTCTCCACCACCACATGCAGGGC